AAAAAAAAAAAAAAAAAAAAAAAAAATAATCCATAAAAATAAATAAAAAGATTCAATAAAAAATACATAAAAATAAGGTAAAATAAACCATAATTTAAATGCAAAAAAATAAAAATATTATATCGTTATTTCATTAAAAGTAATTATAACTAAATTTATTACAAATATTAAATAATAATTTCAACTGAATGATTTGTTCTTTGCTTTAAATAAATAAATCAAAACTGGCTATAAGAATCTCAGAAATTCACAAGTTTATCTTCGAAGAACTTCAACTGGCCGCTGGCAAGCTCAAAACTTACAAATCACCTAGACCGTACGGAATCCCTGAAGAAATACTTAAAACAATCGCTGCAGAATGACCCGCAGTACACTTATATATGTACAACGCCAACCCTGAAGCTGCAACATTTCCTGAAATTTGGTGGAAGATAAAACGACTTGTCCTAATCAGCTATATGCACATATATGCTCGACACAGCAGTGAGTCATAAGTCGTAATGCCTCCATTGAATTTCTTTCGGACGAATGTAAACGGCTGTGGGCGCAAAAAAAAAGTAAACGAAAATAATAAGAGCACAATTGTCCGAATAAAGAAAGTAACGATACTCGTATGGCAACGAAGTTGAAAGAATGAGAGTAGAGCAGATGGACGGATAGACTTATAAGATATTTAAAATTATGGAAAAGTAGTAAATTTGGAGAAGTCGACTTTTATACCACACAACTGCTATCCGGTCATGGATATTTCAGAAAGTACTTCCATAGAAAGGGAAAAGTGGAAGAGGAGGGAAGCCGGTGCTATGACCATAGATCTGATGATGCGGAAAGCATTCTTTCTATTTAATTCTTTTTTGAACCTCTTGAATGGGTTTGTTTAAATAGGCTGAATTCATTACAATAGACTGAATACAAACAATATTTTAATGTTAATAAATTACATTATTTTTTGAATGTATTATTTGCTGCAACCCTGGTCGTTATAAATGCTTTTTTTTAATAAATTTAAAATGGGATGGGAAATACCTAGTTCGGTAAATGGAAATGAAGGAATATTATATAAATTACATTCCGACTGTTAGTTGGAAATCATTGATAATAAATATATGAAATAGTTTTCTTTTGTATACATATGTATTTACAAATGGTGTATAATTAAAATATTAAGTAAGCTAATTTATACTGGCACATGTTTACTAAAATACTATTTTCGTTCATTTAAATTTTTGAAAATTAAGGTGAACTTTTAAAATCGCTGCCAAATACATCAAAAGCCATACACTGAAGCACTTTGTAA